TTAAGGTAACTTTTTTCCTGGCATTAGTTTATTATTCAGCTGCAATCCTCAGTGTTCTTAAATAAAGCCGAAGATCACTGCTCCAGCAGAACTGCTACAGCAGAAAAATTCTACTAGATTATCATTTGTTTGAGCAAATACAACATTAATTTGAATAATGAGACTACGAGCAGTATTTAAGAAACATGAACCTTTACATGAAAATATAAAGCCGTTTTGTTAGCATTATTGAGTAGGACGTATATGGTTGTACAGTAGGGTCATGCTTTAATAGTTTAATCAGTTACTTTGGTTAATTTTTATTCTACGTGATCATGGCTTAATGAAGTAGCCGATTTAAGTCACTTTTCACTGTTCGTTTGAATTTTCTGTGATACCTACATGGTTAAACTTTTATTAGTTTTGGCAGAAGAGATGCTAATAAACAGCTCTTTCAGAATTTTTTCCCTATGATATCTCTTATTTTGCTGGTAGGGAGAATCTTTTGCTGAAGAATTGTAAACTTTGGTAGCAGTCAAAACTGGCTTTATTTAATGGTAAACTGCCTCTGACCCACGACTGTTTTTCATCTTGACAAGCAGTAAAGCTGAATATAAGCACAACTGTTTTCAGTATTTATTACTTATTTGGCTTTTCAGAAAGACCAGTTGGCAAAGCCTCCCCGCTCTGTTGACCATTCCAGCCTCCTGTGGTGCCTCTAGGTGATGAAAAACTTCATGATACGTTGATTATTGTTTCTCACTTACATCATGACACTTTATTAAGTGGCACTCCAGGCCATAAACTTCTACTTCTCTAGAAGCCACGCAGTGCAAAATTGCTGACCAAACGTGTTTGGTTCACGCAGCTTCCACCTTGCTCCCACCTTCTGATGTGCAGTGCCCTAACAGCTGTAGTTATATACAGTGGAACTTACATTGTGCAAATCGTATTCAAGCTTTCAGATAATTCTGTGCGAATTACCCAGTAAATTATCATTTATCGTGTTCATTTTTCTAGAAGTTGCTAGAGGTAACAGTTGGGATCATAAGCTCACTAGAAGAGGTTCTATAAATATACATTAAGTAAGCAAGTTATTTCTCCTGTGATTACATGCTGAATGAAACCAATAAAATAAGCTGTTATTTTTCAGCCTTGGTGGGTTGATTAAATAAGTATAAGAAGGTGAGATTAAAACCCTACACACAATTTATTCAAAATTACAAATTAAATGTGTGTGAATTACTCCATACAGAAACCAAAATGTTTCTCTATATGGACTACACGTTATTGAAGGATAGCAGAAACAACAAAAGCATTTTTCTTTTACACATAAGCTCTCTTAAATGGAAAAAAAAAAAAAAGACTGCTTTCATATGCTCAGATACAGGCATCTGAATCTCAACTAAGCTTCACCCTCCCTCCATAAAGAAGAAAGCAGCACCTCCAGAGAACAATTTGTGTGACAATACAGTCTTAAGAAAGATAACTGCCTTATGTAGGTACTTTTTTTGGAGTCAATTGACTATAAGGGGAGCCTACAAAGATTAACTTGAGCTTAGATGTCCAATTAATAACTGTCTCTGTCTTAGGGATGAATCCAACTTTTATGTACTGTAGTTACACAAGTTTATTCTAGCGACTGGTGGGATTTCAATAATTTTTAATCTTGTAGCACTGAAACAAAATACACGTTCTCTATTACAGAAGAGGGATGCAGTCAACACCTCTTTGCTCTGTTAGTTATGTAACTTTGCACTGGTTTTGAGGCTGGAATGAGCATGTGAGAAATCAGAGCAGATGCTTAAAATTCATAGACTGAAATAACTGAGAAATGCAGTGTTGGCTTTAAGCAGCAATCATTGCTGTCGCTTACAACAGAGCTGCAGCAATGATTTATTCTGGTGCAGTGGAATTGAGGCCTGGCAGTTGAATTTCAGAACTATTGCAACAGTAAATGGACAAGAAGGGGACTTTGCTCTAGGGCTGAGTAGCTGGAGGGGTGAGAAGGGATGGATGGATGGGTAACTGCTCCCTCCATTGTATAGTGATGAGGAAACAAAGCAAAAGACATGAACCTTGTGCCAGGGGTGTATTTGGCAGTTGGGCCCCATTACTGCTCCACTCTTGGCTCATTTTTCAAAACTAGGAGGTTGGGGCTTTTTTTGTTTAAGTGTGAACATACATCTCTGCTACACATTACAGAAGTCAAAGCAGTAAAAGGAAATGGACAAGTCCCACAGAAGAAACTTTGATCCTTTGAATCCAACCATTTTCAGACCTGCTGAGAAGTTCTTTTCTTAAGTGTTTACAAATTTAATTAAAAAGCAGCTAATGCATGTCTCTCAGTGTAAAATTTGATGATATAGCTAAATCCTCTTGCTTCAGACAAATTTAGATACTGTGCAAGACTGCCTCCTGGTGGTAGTACCAAGAATCTGCAGAACAACATCATTTGCACATAGAAAAGGCAAAAACCCGTTGTAAAAGCATGCTTCCTTTTTAATTCGTGTCTGAGTAGAGGAAGTGAAAGAACCTTCTTTTCACGAAGACATCAAGATAAATTGAACTGCGATTTAAATGGTCTGAACTGAGGACAAACTTTTTTGATACTTGACTGAAACAGTTTTCTAATGGCATCCTAGCAAGCAAAGCCTGAGAAGTCTTTTAGTGAGACATTAAAACAAAACAAAAACCTCAGTGAGATGTATCCAACTGTATGCTGTGCACAGCAATGAGCCTTGTAAGGTCTGAAACACTTAATAACTACTGGATACAAAGCAAATGGCGAAGTGCCTGAAATGGGATACAAAGACACCAGAGCAGACTTAACATTCTGTGAATTCTGTGCAACTCAAGCTTTCAATTACAAAGAACAAGAGCAACAGAAACCAGAAATCCCAAAGTCACTTTGAAATGGATTATTCTTTTGCGTAGAAGTGGCACAAGAATCCAATGGATGGATTTCTAATTCCAAGTTTTCAAGTGACGAGAAACAGATAAAGACGGCTTTATGTAGTTGTTAGAGACCTAGAAAATGGGGAGGACAGCTTGGAATTACTGGGAGAGTAGGGTTTTAATTAGGTCATGCTTCAAATGACCCAGGAGAAAGATTTAGTAGAACAGAACACAGAATGATTGAGAGTGGCAGTGTAATGCAGAGAAAGACTTTAAAATACCGATTTTATAAATTAATGTAGTAAAAGAATGGCAAGAGGGTACAGGTAGAGAACATGCGTTTTAGACTCAGTTTCCCATAACTGGTCAGAAGAGGAAATACTTTAAAGATAGCAGTCCAGCACATCATAGATTTATAGCCCTCAAAATGTCTGAAAAGCATCCAAAAATGTTTGGAAAACATTGAGAAATCCAACATTTCCACAGTGATTGTGGCTGTTTGATCATAAACAGGGCTTGACAGGCAAGAACAGACAAATGTGGTAACAGAATGTTTCTGTAAAGCACAAAGCCTTAACAGTATTAGGCAGCAATAAGCAAAATTATTGGGGAAAAACAATTGAAAGTTTAAATTAATCCAAGGCTTACTCTGGGGCAAAGTCAAACAGTGACAAATTAGGTCTCAGCTTTCCGAAAATAAAGGAGGTTCAACTTTAGGCAGTGGAGCATAACGCAACACTAAACACGAGACGTAAGCCTCTCACTTATGCAGTGTCAGTACCAGGCACCCTGAATTCATGAAAATACTAAAATTTGTTGTATCACAAGTTACCAAAAACCTATGTAGAAAGTTATATTCTAAGCAGAAAAAAAAAAAAAAATTGTTTTCACACGACTGAACTTGCAGAGTAGGCAGTAATCCTCTTCATAGAGACAATAGACATTCCTTCGCGATAGCGTGTTTCTTATCACGCAAGCAACACATCGTATAATATGAAGCCAAAATCACTTGGCTGATGGCAGCTTAAACACGGTCTCAGATATCTTAGAAGCATAACAGAGAGAATAAGCAAAACCATTTCATGCCCTGCCACGATAAATCACTCGCAGCTAACTGGCATTTGGATTTAAAAATAATACCGAGATAAATACTTAGATTAGCTTAACGTAAAATCTTCCAAAAGTATTTAGAGTCTTTTTACACACATTCAACACTGCTTTTTTTCCACAATTAAAGAAAATTCAAGGAAAAAAGGTTATTTAGTAATAACTTTGGAAAAGTCAGTGTTCTTTATACTAGGATTAGAGACTTTATAAGGTTCTCAAATTCTAGCAAAATCGGTAGATAACACAGGCTGGCAAAATGACACCAGACTAAGAGAAGAAATGAGAACCTTCCTATCTTATCCAAGTTGCTTTGGAAAAGAAATCCAATCAAAAGGTATGACATACACGGAATAATTATTTTCTGATGGTTTATTAAAATCTGCCAAGGAGACTTCATGAAATCACTGGGATCTCTGCAGAGGCAAAATGTTCCAAGCTGGCCCTTTCTGTCAGAATGCTGATGCATGAAACTGTGGACTGGAGTAAAGTATCTCCTTTCCCTGAGAAAAAAGTGCTAGATGACAGAATATTTTAATAGCAGAAACATTTAAGTACTGCAAAATGCGAAAGCTATGAAGTAGAATCAGATCAAATGTACTTAATTTAAAGCATTTTACACAATAAAGGGACAATCCTTCCCCCTATGTAAGCTAGAAAGAGCTGGGGGTCTTCACCGAGTTACAGCTATTCCCATTTATTTAGATTTCTTAAAAAAAAAAAATACCCCAAAATAATACCAAACTCTAACGTGTCCACTTCTAGACTTCCCATTTTGATATAATACTTTCATGTGTTCACTCTACCAATGAGAAGCCTCCGGCTTTAGTCTGAGCACTCCATCACCCGTTACACCCAGTTCTACCACCAGCACATTCACTGACCCCACACGTGCAACAGCTTTCACTGGATCCTTGTTCCAGTAGGGCTGTTTTGTCGTTTTTCTACTGTCAACTAGTTGTAACAGAAAATAACAAATTTAGTTAAGTATGTTTTAGTTATAGCACTCACAAAGAATTGCCAAACATCTCATTTTCTGTAATTTTTATTTCCAGTAGATCAATAGCAAAGTGCTGATGAACAAGAGGTTATCTTCATTATCGGTCTTTAGGAGGATTAGGATTCCTGCGTCTTCTATGATACCTAGAAGATAAAAAGGCTGCAGTGAATGCAAGCTTTGGAGAGTCTTTGATTTTTCCCCAATATTTTTCCCTCTGGTGAGTGGCCTGGAGGTTACACAAACAAGCAAAACACAAGATATCCAAGGACAGCCCATCACCACTCAATAGATGTCATCTCTGTTGTTCATGGAGTTACATAACGCTACTCATTTCTCCTGCTACATCTGCTACAAGCACGCAATAATCCAAGCAGTTCTACAGCTGAATAGGTACAAAGGCTAATGTTTATTCTTAATCCTTTGTGTGAAGTTAATTTTATTACACGGTCAGCTTTTCCTTTGGCTAAAATGATCGCTACAGAACAAAGAGACTCAATGTTTAAAGGAGTTAAGCCAGACTGTACCTTAAATAGCATAATATTTTGCAGACAAACTAACAAACAAATTCTTCACAGCAAAAATGATCCCCACTTTCCTGTTAATTACCCACACTAAAACAAGGAAGATCCTATGTAGTGCTCATTAAAGTAACATCCACCCTTTAGCCATAGAAAGTTCTACCAGTTCATTCCTTCAATATACTCCCAAAACACAGTAATTTAAAAGTTTTCTGTGGACAGAAAAAAACCCAACCAACAACAAAAAAACCCCTCTGCCTGTATCAAGTCTCCATAGCTATAAAATCAGCAGCTACCAACAGGTGCAGTGACAGACTGGAAAGGAGAAAGACAAACTAGAATGCCATTTGTTTCCATTAGCGTACCTCAACATATAAAATGGGACTATAGTCCCTTTTTAAGCTCAGTTATGCATATTTGCACCTCTCCTCTTCCTAGCTTTCTGAACACAACACACACCAGGGTGCACTTTTCGCTATTTCAAATGAAAAACCTCTACTGTTCTTAAGTTTGAGAATTATCCCATTAAGTTTTTTTCCTGAAAAGTTGTTAAGGAATAGACAATGCATGTTTCCAAGCTGTATAAGGTCATGTCCAATGAGGGTATTTTACATACTAGATATCATTATGCAACTTTATTAAATCACCTGAACCAGTAGCTAACTAGATTGTATGAAAAATTCCTACTCTGTGACATATTTTACAAGAAAAAGTTGCAAAGGCTACCAAAGGGAGTGTTAAAAAAACCCCAACTTACAAAGTACAGTCTTCCCTTCACACAACACTGCATTTAAGATTTTACGTAGTAGCCCATCTGCTAACAGTATCTTGTCCTACATGACTTATCCTCGGTTGAACCTGGTCATTAAATTATTCCTGTATTTCCCTTTACCTCTAAAAGGAACAAACATTGAAAATAAAATACTTACTGTCCCACAGGGTACCAGCGATGTTTTGTTGTGTAAAACATTTTGCTGAGCTCTTCAATTGTTGGACCTCTTTTGTTCTTTAGCTCTTTCTCATTCAATCTGGATTTCAAAACTTGATCAAGGGTTTCTCCTTTATTATCCACTGGATCTGGCCGTGGTATGGGCTATAAAAATAGCAGTGTATCCTTTTACTCCTTTTTTTTGAGAATATAAAATACTCAAGCTACACAGATAGCATTAAAATTTACTCTTACATTTACAATACATTACATTTACTCTTAACAGCTGAAACCAAAAGAATACAGAAGGCTGCCGGTAATTGTAAAGGCTGCTTACTACCCCCCTTGCCTGCCTGGAACAAAACCACACCACTGTGGAGCAGATGTCTAGAAACATCTCATTACCCCAGGTGCTACAACTGATTACCCTACCCCTAAAATGAGCACTGCTGTCATCACTATTAATCTCATCCTTACAATTCACCAGCTGAATCATAAGCTTCAATTCTAATAATACAGAAGTACTCATTCCTATTTAGAAATTTATTCATAGTGACAATCATCATTGCTAAAAAAGCAATGTGTACCTTGGAGAAGAATGTCACTTCCTAATTGCTTGTGCATCTGCTAAGACTAAGACATTTGTTCTCAATCTGAAACCTAACTACTACAACTGTTACAAATACTTCTCCTCACCTTAGTCTTTTACACGTATTATTTTTCCTGAGACGTACGCAACTGATAAACTTTAAAATACCAATATGTAACCTGCAGGCAAAATGTGCTAAAATGGTTTATCAGTGTAAAGAACATATTGAAAGTACTACTGATACAGAGAAATTCAGTATTTAAAGTTTTTTGTGCCGTTTATGAACCCAGAGTGCTGAATGGAATTTAAAGCTAGAGTTGAAAACAGCAGCAGCACCACGCCTTTACAATCCTCTTGCCCAGACTGCTGCATCTGTACACAGTAGGATGTGTGAACTATAACCTGCATTTCAAACATCCTCTTTGAGGAGTACATTCATAGACAGACACAGTTTTCTCTATAGTGCAAAAATATTTGACCGCCTCATTTAATTCTATTTGAGTTACTATCTGCTGTGATATCTGAGTGTTTCTTACGCTGCAACTTTCCCCCAATTCCATTAAAAATAAGGTTGTCTTCATGGCAGCAGCTACACTCATCATTCACTTCACAGACATACTGATCACGTACTGAAAAGCACCACAGTATTCCAAACTTCAAAAAGATGTCCCAAAGACTCAACATTATTAACTACTTATGCCTTTACAAGAGTAAGAAATATAAATGTGTACTTTTGGACATACTTTTGTATGCTCGTACGGAATCTCAAGCGAAGGGTGGTAGCAGACAATTGTCTTCAAATCCGATGTCACTGCAAGTTCCACTTTGCTATAAAAATAACAACTTACATTCTTAAATATATCCCTTGCAATTTTCAGAAATGCTGAGCAGCTGAACAGCCCAAATCCCAAAGAAAACCAGATTTGACCCAGTATTTATGAATTCTTAAGAATCTTCTATAAAATAAACCCTTCTAAAATAAGAGTCACAAATACTTGATCTGAACTCCTGCTATTTTCCTTTTAACTCCAGCCATCTTCAGGTTTCTTTTTTTTGGACGGAGAAAGGGGCTAAAATAAAGTGTTAAAATAGCTGGAAATATGGGTTCGAACAGATCTTTAACGCTTTGACTAATTACATATAAAACCGTATCAATAGATGGGGGTAACGATCATCAGTGATACGCAGGACATCATGCCTTTATAAGAAGTATGGCACCTACAAAAGTGAGAATAGACAAGAAAGCTCTGTTTGAGGTTCCAGCTCTCATTTGCTAAACCATGATAAGCATGGTGAAGAAAAAGTCCTACTGAGAAGTTCCTTGAGGGAGTATGGTACTCTTACCTTCCTTCCCTATTAACTTCCATGCTACATTAGCTTCCCAAAACCTTTTATGATACAGATGCTGCATTTCTCACTATATTTGTATCATCTTTTCTGGCTTCTACTCAAGTTTCCAGGAGCACAAAAATATCTGGACTTCATCTTAACAACAAGCGTCAATGAAAATGATCACTTTAAGCTACTACTGCACATCCACAAAAAAAGCCTGCAGGGGTACTGAGGTCATCACCACGTTTAGAATGAGTCCTGTGTGATTTTTTTATAACGCTTGTTTCTTGAAATATTAACTTCACAATCATTATGATCGGAAACAGTACTTTAGTTAAAATTATTACAGCTATCCAAAACTGGCAGAAGATGTATTTGACACCATTATATGACAATTTCATGACAGGGAAAGTAACCCTGGAATAAACGTCACATGAAAAGGCCACACATCAAAGCACGTTTAAGTACCAATTGTAATCTTCAGGGAGAATTGCGTACGTAGATTTATGGCAAGCAAGATACACAGCTCCACCTGAAAAAAAACAACAAACCCACAAAGAACATGAATGTAAAAAACAAACAGATCTGCACCAAATTTAAGAAAGTCTTCATCTTCATTCCATTCTAGGTCTTAATAGGGCATTATAATGATACTCAGTTTTAGATTAACAAATCCCAGATACTGTCTAAACAGAAGTTCCCTTTACTACACAGATTTCTACTGCAATGAAAAAATACAGTACCTAGGTAGCTAACACCTATGTTTACCTTTCCAACTGTACTGTTTTCCTAAGGAAAAAAAAAATCACAGTACGAACAAAATACCTACAGACTTCACCATTAGAGCATATTCTTTATATATGCAAAGAACATTACCTTATGACTTAAAGGAAGATAATAATTTCATTCATAGTGATATTTATTATAAAAATCAAATTAGTACTTTGTCTGGTAACTGCTACATACGCTACACAAAACACAAAGCTGTAATGTCTTGGCTGCTGTAACACCAGAAAACTTCACGCCTCTCCTGAGGTTCCTGTTGCTCCAAGGAAAGCAATCACAAGAATTACAAGTAATAAGTCAAACAGCATCTGGGAGTGTTCTAAGCAGACTAAGGGGAGGGATTATCTCCCTCTACTCAACACCTGTTAGACCACATCTAAATACTGTGGCCAGTTTGGGGCCCTTTTATTAAAGATAAACTTGAATAGTTCAGCAAAGGCCCACCAAGATAGTCAGGGGCTGTAGCACCTGCTCTGTGGGGAGAGGCTGAAGGACTGGACCTGGCTCAGCCTGGAGCAGAGACAGTTTTGGAAAGACTTAACAGCAGCCTCTAGTGACTATGTATGAAGATTCAGGATACTGAGGAGAAAGAGTCAGTCTGTTTGCCCGGTGGGAGGACATGAAATGACACCTGCAAGTTGGAAGGAGAGGCCCTGACTGGATATGCAGAGAAATGTTTTCTCATGAAAGCAGCCAACCAGTGGGACTATGCAGGCAGGTTTGTGCTGAAAAAGAAAGAGCTGGACAAAGCTCTGAGCAACCTGGTGTGATTGCAGAGCTGAGTCTGCTCTGAGCAGGAGATTGGACTACAGCGCACCTGAAGCCCCTTCCAACTGAGTTTTCCCATGATTCCATTCTCATTTTTTCATAGCATCATTTAGGTTGGAAAAGACCTTTAAGATTGAGTCCAACAGTAAACCTATCATAATGCGTTAAACAGTAACAGTCCCTTACATAGGAGCCATATAAGAGCATCTTGCATTTCACAATCAGGTGGGTGTGCGTGCCTAAGGTGGGCCTGGGGCGTGCCTGTAGGCAGCTTTCACTGGCAAACCCCTTCCTTCACTGCCAGAACCTGACACAAATCCACAGGCAAGTTTCTCAGTCCAGTGAAGCTTCTTCTACTGCTACACTTTAAGAATGTAATTATAATCACAAGAATTAAGTCTTAGCATGTTCTGAGCCTTCTGTTTTCAAAGAAATCATAAAAAGGTTTCAACTTTTTTTGAAATTTTACGTAGAACATCTTTAGTTTTACTACAAACGGGATACTTCTTGGCTGTTCATAATGGATGGGGAGACCATTCAGTGCGTCAAAACTGGGAAAGCTGAAAGAACTAAGAAATTTTTGTGCAGCTATTTTCCTCTCAGAAATATTTCAGATGTAAAGTTCTTAAATGTAAATTTTGTTATAGTTAATACACTTAAACATACATTTTCAAGATAAAAATGTTAACTTTAGAATTGCTGTCAGCACTTCCATGCTTCAGTTCTTCCAATTAAACCATCCTTAGTTACTAAGAATTAGAGTTTTTGGTAAAATATTACTGCACATACCTTGTATTTCTTTTTACGATTTCTTACCCTTCCTTGCCCACTAACCTCTAAAATGTAACACATCCATTATATTTTCTCAATTTCTGTCTTTTCTACCACCTTTGCTATCTCTCCTACATCTTTCTATTGACATCTGAAACATGGACAAAAATCTAAGAAATGGTATTACCTGTTCTTACTTTTTCTGTTTATGTTAAGCAATAAGATTTTACTGTAGCATCTTCTCACCACTGTTTGTAAGTCTGAAAAAATAAATCTAATCTCCAAATACAATCAGAGGTAAGAGGGGTGGTCTTTACAAGCTAATTAATAAATTAAAGAAGTGTCATATGTGCACCATGGAAGCTTTAAGAGAAAAAAACCAAATCAGTATCTTTTAATTATTAGCAGAGAACACAGAATATCAGATTTGATTCTATTCAAATAAAAATTCACTTGCATGCATCCATTACTTTATACAGTACAGGAGAGAGGCTCTCAAAGAACACATTTTAATATAGGACTTGTACAATTCCATCACTACTTACTCTGCAGCGGCGCCTGCTTACAGGTTGCTACTGAATGCATCCTTAAGAAGCTGGACCACAGAGTTCTAAGTGATGTTGCCATGCTGACAGCAGAGAGGAAACCAGTCTTGGACAAGAGGAAGCTCAAACAGACACCGTAACCTTTTTCTCTGCAAAACACCCCCTGAAAGAAACCAATTTCATAACTGTTCAGGGTACAAAAGACTGACAAATTGATTTCTTTAATATTACAAGGACAAATAAAATCTGTGCCATATATTCTTCATTATTTGTCAGTTGTTTAGAAGTTCTTACTATTTAAGATACTGACACTTGTCTCCTTAACAGTCAAATGTGGTACAAGACTTAATCTACTGAGAGGTACTCTCTGAAGGCACAACATTAACTTTAAAAGAAGTTTCCAAGCTTAGGTTTTCTCACAGTTTTTCTGCTAGTCCTCACCCACCTAAGTTTTGCATCCTTACTTCTGTGCACTCCACAGAATTATTCCTGAAACATGTTTTTCTTGTTCATGATGTAAATATCGTTGCCCAGTATAAAAATAAAAGTACTTACAAATAACACTTGCTGTAGTTAAATTGCCTAGATACAGTTGGTTTCAACCATCTCAAAAGCAACACTCCTGAAAACTATGAAACACCATTTAGAATCTCTTAAATGTTACCCCAAATTTCACAGAAGACATCCATAAACATCTTAAGTTTTCATAGTCTACAGAAAAAAAAAAGCTGCTTCAAAGAGAAATTTAGAATGATGCTTAAAAAAACATAACTGGAGACAGTTTAAAGACATACTCATAAAAAAAACAAAAACAAAAACACAAGACCTCTTTAAAAATACTACTACTACTTTAAACTACTTCCTATTTAGTGCTTCAGAACATCACCAGAAGTATCTTCCAATTTCAACAAATAACTATTTATCACCATCTTCCCCTGTGACATGTGCTGCTGAAGTTAGACAAACACCTAAAGACATAGCACCTAAAGAGCTGCTCATAACTTGCCTTTGAAAGCTCATTAACAGCCGAGGTGTGAGGAACACGGCGGATCAGCACCGCCTTGTCAAAGGAGAGGGCCCATTCTCGGCCTCACCTCAAGGACCACTGCAGTTTAAATCGGGGCATTCCCACCTCCGAGACAGCACACAGAAAACTCTTAAAGGCCTGTCAGCAGTAAGCAAGGGGAGGGGGGGGAAGTAAAACAAAACACAGCGATTTAACGCCTCAGAAAGTACATAAACTCTCTTCCTCTGGCCCATTTCGGAGGCTCAGATCGCGGGTCTCCTGCACCAGCCGGGCACGCGTTGCTAATCACTACAAAAACACAGGGTGGAAAG